TTGCACAAAGCATGGGAAATAAATAAGATGAACATGAATTCTTAATACAGGAAGGCAAGTGGGATGACTCATGATTAAAATGAATGGGTAACTTATTCCAAATAGCAAAGCAACACAGGAGGGGAGGGGTAGCAGCACTATATATCAAGGATGTGTACAACTGTTAGAAGGTTTATGACTCAGAGCATGGAAAAGAGGTTGAGAGCATTTGAGTGAAAATTAAAAGTGATAGAAACAATAATGCTATCATACCATGGCTCCTGAAGCCAAAGTGATGATTAAGGTGATATATGGCTGGGGTTGGAATAGGTTACATCCTTCCTTTCTTTCCTGTTCCAGTGAAAGCAAAGGGGTTTGCATCTCACTAGACAAATAAATAATAAAAATAAAAATGTCAGTACATTGTCTTTTTGACATAGGAAAACCCACGTTCTGTTGTCATGAGAAATCTTCACTTGGTTTCTACACAGCAGCCACGAACACAAAAGCCTATTTTCCTCTAATATTTCACAGAGAGGTGAAGCCTAGTCCTCCAGTTGTAGGACTACAACTCCCAGAATTTCTCACCGTTGCTTATGCTGGTGAGGAAGATGCTAGTAGTTGCATCCCATCATCTAAATGGCTGCAGGAGCTTCACAGGAAATACTTGCACAGGCCTGTCCCACATATTCGACAAGTCAGAGATAGGCACTGTCAAAACTTGGAAAAATATTTGAAAAGCAGAACCTACTCTTCTTGCTTGTAAATGCAAGACTGACCACTCGATGGTGCCAAGTTGACAGGGGGAAAAAAAAGACTGAGTAAATATGGAAAAATGCAGTGTGCTTAGTAGATTAAGGTGGTGGGGAGCAGATGAGCAAAAGTGCAAAACTAGGGGTTGAAAGTGCAGTGCATGGCAATACTTTAGATCTGCAGAAAAGAAGAAATAATGGGAAAGCTAGGCATCAAAAGATGAAGGAATCCTGTTATGTACTCAGAAGAGATCAAAGGCAGGAGATCTCCCTTGTCCCTTTAGTGGTTTTGTTATGGTATTTGTTAACCTGGTTGTGTGAAAAGCAATCCCTACTAAAATATTTTTGCACAGCCAGTCAAGAGAAAGAAGCTGTCCCAGGTTTTCACTCTTCCAACACTACTATGCACTTTTTGGTTTTCTGACTGCAGAGGCTATGTATATATGTGGGATGAATCATCTCCATTCGAGTGCAGACAGAACTCCCCTAACCTCTTTCTCTCCTCAGAGAACCCATGGAAGATGGTGGCAGATCCTTCTAAAACAGCAAGAGAAAGGAAAGAAGCATTTGCTGCAGTGTTGTTGTTACATTCCTCACTTCAGCAGTCAATATTGCTCATCCAAGCAGCTTCTGTGGGCAGTTTGTTGACAGGGTTTATCTGGCTTCACTGATTCCTCCTCTGGGACTTCAGAACCCTTCACCTTAGACAGCTGGCCCAATTATTAGGTATAGTGGAACCTGTTACCTTCAGTGGCAGCAGGTGCCAAGTGGCAGGAAACAAGCCAGGCAATATGCTGTCTGTCCTGCCTTGTACCCTCTAGGCCAGAGGGTACAACCTTCAGATGTTTTGGACTTCAGCTCCCACAAGTCCTAACAGCTGGTAAGCTGGCTGGGATTTCTGGGAGCTGAAGTCTAAAACACATGGAAGAGCACAGATTGAGAAACACTGCCCTAGGCTATGCACTGGGATTTGGGAATGCTATCCTTTTGACACATGTTCTGTTTAGTTGTATTTTGTACAACAAAGAGAGAAATCAATACCTCGGACTATTCATTATACAGAAGACTCACTGGGATCCCCATATCAAAACTACATTCTTAATGGCTGGCCAGAATGCTAAGATAACACATCAAACAGCCCTTTTCCTTCATAAAGCAACACAGCTGAGAACTGCATATCTGGAGGAGATTGGGGTAAACTGTAGGGGTGACGCAGATATCTGAAGTGGCTTGGGATTGTGTAATAGCTGGTCTATTTTAACCTTCGTTTTAACCTTCGTTTTTAATTTTTGTGGTTTGAAATTTTACCTTGGCATTTTAATGATGATATTTTAAAATATCTTTTAACTAAATCAAGTTTGAATGTATGTTAGTTCACTATTATGGGAGTCCTAGGATAGTGATTATTGTCTATTTGTGTACGTTTCTGTTTTTGTTTTTAATGTTGATACGGTCGGTGGACTAATCAATAAACTTTGCTTGCTATCCTTTTGACAATCATATTCAGCAGCCGTTATGAATTGGCTTAGAATACGGGAGAGATCATCTCTTTCAACCCAGTCTGGAGACAACACTCCATGTCCCCAAGCAAGTTCACAGGCTGGCCAGAGGCTACACTATCCATCACCAAAGCAACCCGGTATCTGAGTGATACCAGAACCAATTCAGCACTGCTCACCCACAACCCTTACCTTGCCCCCCTGATTCTGCTGTTTGCAGTGTCAACCGTGTACAAAAATGGCACTGTTTGTTGTGCAGTGCCCAAAAGGATTGATATACAGATGGATGAAGTGGCTGAAGAGGGAGAAGCAAGAACTGCCGTCTCTTTCCCCTCTCTCTTTTCTGATTGCCTTGGTGCTCTGGATAGCATTGCTCTAGATGCCAAGCCACAAACAGCCACATTTTTGTGCCCAGCAAACAACAGCTCAAAGGGGATTCTATCCCCTGGCCTGCCCAAACCTGAAGAAAGCATATGATGGCAATGTAAACAACTGCAGACACTTCCCAAATAAGAACATATGCCCAAATTTTGTAAAACAGTTGCATTCTTTCAGTTCTTGCTGGATGGAAGATCTTATCAGCATTATGTAGTCATTGCCAAAGTCGAAGAATGCCAAGAGTTGCAATCTAATTACATCGGCAAGGGCATTCTGTCCCCATTCCTTTCTTGGACTAATCTGGGGATCCTCACTGTAAACAGTGAGGCAGCAGGGATTTGCAAATATTGCACGGCTCCTAGTAATGGAAAAAGCTTATGGACTACACTGCATACACACTGTTTTTTTTCTAACAGAAAGTGGGCTGACCAGCATAGAATATACATAATGTGCAAAAATCAACCAGGCCCAGTATTCCCCAAAATGACAGCCTTCCCAGTGATGGTGCTGGCATGGAAATTCACTTATTCGGTCTCTACTTGCCAAAGGTGACTGAACTTTTGCCTAACCAAGACCAATATATGGAGTAGTCTGGATGCCCATTTTTTTTCATAAAGCAATTGAGATTGCAATTGGAAAGGTAGAGAACCCCTTTCCCCACTATAGAAATCAAACTTTAGCTAGACTCCTCTAACATAGAAGGAGGGCTGTATTTGCCCTTTGCATATATTGAAACCTGGGGATATTGCTATTAGTTTCAGGCATCTGGAAAAAATCCAGTTAATTTTTCAGGAACTTTGGGGTGTGAAGCTAGAAAACAGAGTTGTGTTCGGAAAGGTTTATATTTTCCCAACGTGTTCTTTTTCAGTGCAGTCCCGCATAGGCAGTATAAATAAATGATGCATTGATCCTTCAGGAACAGGACTATCAGACTATTGGGAAAGATATCAAAGAATGAGTGTTACTACATTGAGGAACACATTCAGGATAGACCGAGATGTAAAAGAGTCTAAATGAATGCTTCCTCAACTTTCTCAGGTTTGCTTGGAGCTGCTATTTGTTTCCCAGTCTGAGACTGGAAACCAACTAGACTGATGGCAGTTTCAATCTTTCACAAATTTACTTTGAAACACATTCTCTATGGCTCAGTGGGCTTTGTTTCTGTCTAAGTGTCCATAACACTAATCAGAAGAGATGCTAGGATATAATGTTATTTCCCCCCATTCTATGGTACAGAAATTCAGAATGGAATGTTTTCTTCCACTTAAAAGAATGTTCTTTTGGCTTGTTTCCTCTCCGGCCCATTTAGGAGATATTTTCACCTCCTCTACTGTTACTTATGCATCCGCCATGGTTTTGTTTAAAGTGTATTATAGTTCAATAATCAGCCAAAAAGGATAAAGTAACTCATGGGCATTTCTTTAACCACCCAGCAAGTGTCGCTATTGCTTCACTTAATTGTTGGAATGAAATTAAAGCTTTGGTAGCCAATATGCAACTGTCCAAGATAGTTTTCAGTACCTACTTAGATCTCAATTGCCACTTCTTTGCCAGAACTAGAGTCTCAAACATAGACATTTGGTTCCTGAGGAACCACATCATATGCTGTTATTTTTTTCCTACCAATTTAACCCTTTAAATCAGTGGTTCTCAACCTGGGGTCCCCAGATGTTTTTGGCCTTCAACTCCCAGAAATCCTAACATCTGGTAAACTGGCTGGGATTTCTGAGAGTTGTAGGCCAAAAACATCTGGGGACCCCAGGTTGAGAACCACTGCTTTAAATGATTTGCAACCTTGTATTTTCCAGAATATTTTCAACTAGAACTTGAATTAGCCCCAGCCCACAAGGCAAATAGTAATAAATCATTATGGGAATTGTAATCCAAGCTCACATAGTGCATACTCCTCCACTGGATCTGAGACGGAGAACTTGTGACTGGTCTGATATTGTTGAACTATAACTTGCATCATGCCTGATGGCCACTGACTACACTGGCGAGAATTGGAAGACCAAACACAGCTTTGGGAAGGGCATAGCTTTCCCATTCTTTCTGTAAGCCATCACTTATTCGATCAGTAATTCTCAGCTGCCCGTTCTTTAAAAAAATGTAAGAAATAGGCCATGCTTAAATCCAAGATACTTTGCAAAAGAAGAGAAGACCAAGAGGGAGAGCAGATCAAAACCAAAAGGCCATTCCTGTGGAGAGAAGCACCTTGTCCAGGATGCTGAGAGCCGGGCAGTTTGAGGCATGCTATGGGACAAGTGACTGGCCTGATACCTAGAACGGTACCTGCTGTCATTGCGCCAAAGTTCTTCTCCTGCTTTGTGCCGTACCCACATTCCTTCTTCAGTGACAATGAAAGGTGTAAGAATAGTTCTCAAGAAAACAGTCTTGCTTGCTCACTATTTATAATAACTGGAGTTTTGGAAAGAGGGATATCTGAAAGAGGAAGAAGATGGTGGTGGCACAAGCCACTTCCTTGCTCTTCAGGGGCTTCCCCTCCAGGTTCTTCACAGCATTATCTTCAGTCTGGGATGGGTTGATTGAGAACAGGGAGGCCGGCTATGCATGCTTGCGATGTTCTGTAGCTGTGGACTCAGGATTTCCTGCTCTCGGAGGAGGTATTGTACACATGCACAGTCTTGATGCAACATGGTGAGGGGGCTGCAGGTGTGTCTGTGTGTTTGTGTGGTCTGGGTGGGAAAGTGTGATGTATGAGATTCCCATGAGGCGTTGCGTTTTGGTGCAATAGACTGTCTTTGTTGTTTGTTGTTTTTAAAGTGCAGTTTCCTAGAGACAGAATGGGGACTGGGAGGGACAGGAAGGCTGAGAGGGAAGAAGAGAAAGAGGCATATAGGGTGGCATTCAACCCAGTAACGTCTTTGTCTCAGTCAGAAGAGACTGAAGATGAGGAAGAAAATGGTTGGAAGCTTAGTGGATTCAGTTTGTGTTTTTCTCCCTTCTTTTCCCATACGATACCTCATCCTCAGCTGGAATAAACTCCACAGTCCCTACTTTTCATCCCACAGCACAACTTCCCCAATGGTGCTGTGGGACATGACCCAAGAGAGCCTCTGTCCTTAGAAAGAGCCCATGTTTTCTTAGTAAACGTTGAGCATGGCAGAAGAACATGCTTACACAAGAAATTTCCAGTCCCATTATTAGGCTTCTGCTCTCTTCCAAAGCCAAAGGCGTTGTTTTCTATCCCGGCCACTCTTCAGGTCCCAAACCCTGCTTCTTTTATAAAGTTAGAAGATGAGGAAACCCGCACAGGAATCTCAGTTCACTCCTAAGCCCTTGCTCTGTTTTCCAATGCAGGGGACAACTGAAGGAATGAAATTGTCTTTCACGTTCTGTCTTTCTCCAAGTGTTTGGGACAGACTCCCTTAATGGGGCACCCGTATCCGCCTGCCTCTATGGTTGCATAGCATCTGGCACCCACCTCCCCTCTCATATATGGCTTTGATTGCAGGAGTGAGGGAGGGGGATCAGGCGGGTGTTGGAAGCTCTGGGGCCCCAGTTCTCCTCATTGGTGGCCACCAACATTGCCTCAAAACAAAACAAAAACGGTGTGGCACCCCAATGGAGCTCCCCAGGCTGCAGCTCAAGGGCAGGGTGGGAGGCCTGTGCAGAGAGAAGCTCCTGATCGGGACCCCTGAGGGCCAGCAGTGACTTTGGGGAGAGGAAGGACGGAGGAAGCGGCCCACCCCACCCCAGTCTCCTCTTACAAGGAGGAGATCTTGACAGTCTCGTGGAGGATGTATGGGGTGGAGAGGCTGGAATTGCGCAGGGGTCCACCGGAGCCTCCTCCAGGCGAAGGGGGCCGGCTCTCGTCAGGCGTGTTGGCAGGAGGAGTGGGAATGCAGATGATGGCTGCAGTGAAGTCTGGGGCGTCACAGTTTAGCTTCAAGTTGTCGTGGGTCTTGGCGTTCAGGCTGGAGCGACTGGGAAGAAGACAGACAAAAAAAGACAAGAGAGGTAATGAAAGTGGGTTGGACATCAAGTCTTTGTTCCTCCTTCTACCAGGCATCCTCAGTCATGACCCCCAGTTTATCAGGCTATAGTAGTAATCCTGGGATACCTGACATACTTTACAAAGTGGTGCTCTGGAGCATGTGCACAGCCATTCCCAACAAATGATAGATAGGTCAAAGTAAGACTGGGAAGAATATTAATTTTTTTTATGCTGTGGTTAAAAAGGTGTTGGGAAACCCCACTGAGAAGAAGAATAAGAGACCAACGAGAATCTTGTGCAATTTCACCTAGTATTCAAATGTTCTGAAGTTCTGCAAAGGAATTAATCAGCATAGAAAAAGAGGTATTTTTGGCACAGCCTCTCCTGTTTCATCCACAGAAAGTAGCTTCCCTGTGCAATTTCCTCCCCTTTTCTGCTTGAAGGAATTTATTTTACACAAGAGCAAGGATTTTTGTACACACACACACATATAAAACCCCTTTACAGAACAGTTTCACTGTAATACATGGAAAATACAGTGAAGGAATATTCATTTTCTCTTGCTAGATGGAGAAATCTATCATAATTATTTTTCATTGCATGCAAGGATGAAATAGTCAAGGATTTTCTTTGGTCAGCAGACGTATGATTTCCCAGGAGAAGAGCTGAAATTCACAGCCTTCTTTAATACTGAAATTCATTTCAAAATCCGAAAAACCCCCACAGAGTTTCAGCCCTCCCAGGAAATAGCATACTTTGAACCACAAACCCTTCATAACTCTTCCTATGTTGGGAACAGCCAAGGGACCCTCCATGGATGCTCTCTGTCCCATCTTCATGACACGGTGCCCATCCCCAAACATTTGGCAGTGTATTTACAGGTACATATCTATTGGTAAATACGTAGCATGCTTTGCATTGTATTTCATGGACATAGTGGAGCAGTCAAGCAGTTCTAGTTCAAATTTCTTCTATAGACCATTAAAGTTCAAATGTGTTTCACAGGCCATTTTTCTGATGTCAAGATAAATTATGTCCTTGGAGAACAGAGTTATAGTAAACATCTGAAGGCCAGATTCAGCTCCTTGATAACGTCTAGTGGAAAAATAATTCCCCAGTGGAGCCAAAGACCCAGAGGCTTGAAGCTCTGGGATTTTCTTTTGATGAGCAGACTATGACATAACCTGTCCTTCCTGCCACCCCTTGGATTTCCTTATTCCCTCTGGATTCAGCTGAATTCCCCATATTAAGCAGAAAGGAAATAGATTTTTCTAAACAACACTGTGAAACAGCCTTTGCCTGATCTTGCACTGCCCAGGGCTGTTGGCCTTAGGGATGTAGCCACAGAGAGAGCAAAACGCTGGCACTACCTCCACAGAGAAGTCTGCCTCCAAGTGGAATTTCCCTTCAGGACTAAACATGTATAGCTTTGCAATCCTTTAGTTAAGCATTCAGAAACAGGATTTAGGCCTCCACAGAGGACAGGCAGGCAAAGTGACCAAGGGAATGTGAATACAGCAAAAGTAACAGTTCTACGGCTAAACAATTTTCATCATCTCACTCTCTGCAGTTCTGAACAGCTGGGGGTATAACTCCTATTTGGGAAGGCAATGCCCCCACTGGTATTTGCTCTGAAAATTGACCTATTCCTATCTTTTTATATATTGGGGGCTGTCTTCTCCAGTTAAATATTTCCGCTCCTGATAGTTTTCATGTCATACTGGTGTTGAAAGGGTCTTTGAGTGAAATTTGCAAATGCTAAGCAAGGGGCTTTGAATGAAATTAACAGCAAAAGAGAAACATACCCTTTCTCTGTAGAAAAGGAGCAACAGGGAAGAAAATGTTTTTAAGAAACAAGATATGACAAGTAGAGGTCGGAAGTTGTATTGTGGTTAAGTTCAAAGGTTGTGGTTAAGCGCAGAGTCTGCAGATACAAGAAGGTACTTTCTATCAAAAGGTCAAGGGAGAGGGGCTGGAAAGAGAGTACTTTCCATGACCTATTACTTGAGTATAAAAGTTAGCAGAAAAAGAGGAGGGGCGCGGCAGTCACTTGAAGGGTAGCATCTGCGTATGCTGCCAGGCTGTCCGTCTTTTTCATGAAAAAATTAAAATAAACCTTGTTTTTTAATCTTTTTTGGGACTGTCCCTTACGTGTTCCCGTGATGTGGACTTAAGAAGACCCAATTTAGGATTTCTAACAGTGTTGTAGGAAGAAGGGAGAGCTGTAGTAAGATGGTGAGGCATTTCTTCCTCTCATACAATCACAGAGTTGGAAGAGACCTCATGGGCCATCCAGTCCAACCCCCTGCCAAGAAGCAGGAAAATCGTGTTCAAAGCAACCCCAACAAATGGCCATCCAGCCTCTGTTTAAAAGCCTCCAAAAAAGGAGCCTCCACCACACTCCGGGGCAGAGAGTTCCACCGCTGAAAAAGGCTCTCACAGTTTGATTCCTGTAGTCCATCTCTGCTTCTGATGAAGTAGGTTTAGCATACAGGATAGCTTAGGCTGAAATGATCCAAGTAAATAGAGAGCCCACAGTGACTAGGGCCCTCTGGTTGTGCAGCAGGTTAAACCGCTGAGATGCTGAACTTGACCAAAAGGTTGGCGGTTCGAATCCAGGGAGTGGGATGAGCTCCCACTGTTAGGCCCAGCTTCTGCTAACCTAGCAATTTGAAAACATGCAAATGTGAGTAGATCAATAGGTACCATTTCTGCAGGAAGGTAATGGCGCTCCATGTAGTCATGCTGGCCACATGACCTTGGAGGCGTCTATGAACACCACTGGTTCTTCATCTTAGAGATGGAGATGAGCACCACCCCCAGAGTCGTATACGACTAGACTTAATGTCAAGGGGAAACTTTTACCTTTTACTACAAAGAGTATCAAGTGGTTTGAGCACTGGACTATGACACAGAAGACCAAAGTCTGAATTCCTGCTCACCTATGGAAATCATCTTAGGAGAGTCCCACTCAGTCTCAGAGGGGATCAAATCTTGTCAAGAAAACCATATGAGAGGGTTCCCTTAGGGTCCCAATAAGACAAAAAAATTGAAGGCATACAATCACAACAATAAGACAATATCTTTCCTCCCCCTTTTAATCCCTTCTTTCAAAACCAAATGTGCTTGGGGAGGGGGGTGCATGGCTATCTTTACTCACTCATCCACTATACTGATGTCTGAAACAGCTATTCTGGATCTGGATCTCCTTGCTCTATTCCTTTAACTCAGGCATCCTCAAACTGCAGCCCTCCAACTGTTTGGGCCTTCAACTCCCAGAATTCCTGACAATTGAACAAGCTTGTTAGGGCTTCTGGGAGTTGGAAGCCCAAACAGCCAGAGGCTGCAGTTGGAAAATGCCTGCTTTAACTAGTTCTTCTTGGATGCTTGGACCTACTCATGGAATGGCGTTCCAGTCTGAACAGTATAAATGGTGCAAAGTGTGGGTTTTCAGGGCTCAAAGAGTACTTGAAGATTTCCAGAAATAGGATAGGAGATTATGTATGTATTTACTCGAGTCTAACACCTTTTTTTGGCTAAATTATCTTGCCAAAATTAGGGTGTGCATTACACTTGTGTAATAGGGAAATCTTAGTACTGAGCCAAAGCAATAGGGGAAGCTTCTTCAGGAGCACCTGGAGCTTCAAGTTTTGGAATGTCATCTGTAATTTATTTGCCATAGCTCAACGCAATGTAATCCCTGAATTTGTAGTTTGGAGAGGCATCCTTACTCTTTGGCAGAGAAGGCTTTTAAAATACAGCCCCCGTGATTTCATAGCATTGAGCCAAGTCAGTTAAAAGAGATTCATTCTATAGCATTGATGCACCCCAAGGTTTCTTTTCCATTACTGGAAGCTTTGGTGTTTCAACATAATTATTTTAAGGAAGGAATTCTAAGAAGCAGCAACTGAAGTGGGCACATTACAAAGAGTGCATTTGTCAGCAAATACTTTTTTTGATTTCAGGGTTTTGAAAATTGCAGTGTGCATTAGATTTAATGGCACATTAGACTTGAGTAAATATAGGTAGTACATCGGGGGGGGGGGACTTTGGCCACATCATGAGGAGACAGGAAAGCTTAGAGAAGACAATGATGCTGGGGAAAATGGAAGGAAAAAGGAAGAGGGGCCGACCAAGGGCAAGGTGGATGGATGGCATCCTTGAAGTGACTGGCTTGACTCTGAAGGAGCTGGGGTGACCGCTGACAGGGAGCTCTGGCGTGGGCTGGTCCATGAGGTCACGAAGAGTCAGAAACGACTGAACAAATAAACAACATGATGCGGGGGGGGGGAGGTATTTTTCTTGGTCTTTGTCTATGCTCAAGAACTTTTTTCACAAATTACATTGACTCTATTACAACTAGACACCACATAAAACAGCTTCTAGATCACAGAATGCAGCTTATACCAGTTGGCTAAATCCCAACAGTTTTTTAAAAATTATAATATAATATAATATATATTATATTATATTATATTATAATTGGTACCCTTTGAGGATTGAAGCCAGCAACCATGATTTGGTTGTCAGCTTAACTTTGCTGCCAGTGTAACTTTGCTCCTAAAGAATTCAAGCTCTGACCGCCAAGGCCAAAGGCTAATTGGCTACCCATCTCTACTTTTCATCCTATGAAGTCAATGCACAGTTGCTCCAAAAATATTTGGCTCGGGATACCGACATTATATCCATGATGTCAGCAAGGACAGCAGTTCCATTCTTCCACTTTAAAAAATAACAAACCCTGGAGGAGTGATTGATAACAGATGCAGCTGAATTCGGCAAGACTGGAACCCTAAAATGGGAATCTTATTCTTAACATGCTTAATACTTGAAATTCCATTCTTATTTGGTTGTGATTTTTTTTCAGGCTATATGGCCATGATCTTCCAGGGAGGCCCTCCTCTCAGTCCCACTACTGTCTCAAGTTGATGGGGATGAGAGAGAGGGGCCTTCTCAGTGGTGATAGGATATAAATAAAGATGATGATGA